GCCCGGAAGACCCACACCAGCCATCGTATGCCGGCCGTGAAAGCCTTCGACAATACATAGTTAATGAGCAATTTCCAAAAGTGATTAGAAAACAAGATTTGCGAACTTAGTATCCTTTAAAAGTCTCCACTGTGGTTGCAAGCAAGATGGCTAATTGCATCATCTCCTGGCACCGAAACCTGCAGAAAACCATTGTCCTGCAGTGTTCTCATGGGGAGCAACTGTCCAGAACACATGTGGGTGATCTCACATCCTCTCCTTATCCAGAGGTTCCAAGGGGACTGGTCTACTCACTGGTTCCTTGGTCTTTGCCATGGTCATTGGAACATACTGACTTCTTTTTGCTATTCTTTGGCTTTCTAAATAATCCAGTGTGTATCAGCAATAATGTCTCATGTTCCTCTGTCTTTTCTAAAGCCAGACTGAACATCTGGCACCTCCCTTTCTATGTAGGGCCCTGATCTGTGTTGTTGGATGACCCTAAGCATTATTTTGCTAGCATATGAAATTAAGGATATTGTACAATAGTTTACACACACTGTTAAGTCTCCTTTTTTTAGTACAGGTAGTCCCCAGTTTAAGAGCAAGTTCCGTTCCCAAGGTCTGTCTTTAAGTTTGTATGTAAACCAGAATATTATTGCATAATACTGTATAAGTAGTTTTATGTAATTAACTCAAACCATTGTATATTTAACTCAAATCATTGTGTATTTAAACTTGAATTTTGCTACAGTGGGCTCAGTTCTTAACTATGAGTCGTCTGTAAACCAGGCATTCTTAACCCAGGGACTACCTGTATTGGAATGTAGATTGACCTTTTCCAATCTGTTGGCCACTATGTCATTCTCCAAATTTGCTGGCATAGCTTGGTTTACCATTGCCTTCTTCTGTGCAATTCGAAACAATCCCTTTGCCACTGTCACTAAAGTCATATTTCGCCTCTAGCATCTTCCTATATCACTACTGCACAATACAGGTGCCTGCTTGCTTTAGCTGGGCAGTTGGGATGACCTTTATGCCTTTCACACATATACAATATGAGCAGAGTCACACTATATTGTCATCCCTTCAAGGTAGACCAGATCAGGAAACATATGCCACAGGAAAAGCAGAACTATACTTTATTGAGATAGGCTATAATAACATAATCTTGCAAATCTAATTGGGCTTCTCCTCCCTTTCCTCTTATACCCCAGTAAGACAGGGAGGAGTGAGGCTGAGTCTCTTCTTAATACTATCTTCGTTCCCAGGACTTAATGAATAATTCTGTATTCTTTGTTTACATAATGTTTTCTGAATATTTGCTTCAAGGCCATTTCCCTGGCTCTCTACATATATGGCATATATGTAGCATATATTAGCATATACTCCTAGCTTTCTTTGTTCATCCCTCCCAGGAACACCACCCTGCCACAATGATGCAGCACAGCAGGACTTGTGGGGGACACTCTTAATTAGCCTCGTCTAAACTGTCCCAGTGAGGTTTCATGTATTATGTACATGTCCATATACCTTAACTAAAATTGCTTCACAAATGAAACACTTACAATAGTTTCATCTTAAACTTACCAAAATTGAACTCTCTAGCTTTTCTTCTCCCAGCATTGGAAGTATCATTGGCTGGTTCTATGCTCTTTGTCTTCTTATGGGGTGGTGAATAGTCATCATCATCTTCAGAGAGACAAACATATGCATCACAGCTGCTATTTGACAACATCTAACATCTTTCAAGATCATAATAAATAACCTGCTGTTGGATGTGGTGAACTATTCCAAAACAAGGAATGGACTCATCTTTACTTATCAATTCTAGCATTTAACTTTCCCATTTGAAGTTCAAATTATGTCAACATAATTTGGATTTTCCCACCTTACTGTCAACAAGGCCTTCTCTTACCCCAAAGAGACATTCTGTTTGGATTCCAACCAAACATAAAGATACCACATTAGATAAGATGTTTTTGAAACAAAAATACCATACAGAACATTAGAGGATGCAAAATTCTTCCAGAGTGATATCACATAAATATACTGGTAGAAGGTGGGACAAGAGATAATTGGTTTCTATTCCAGCAATAAATGAATAGACACTGAAAGCAACAGGAATGGATCTGTAAAATTTCACTAGTGATCTAATAAATGTGAATAAAATGAACCTGTATTTTAAATAGAGAGAAATCAATAACATCTGCCAAAATATCTAAAAAGGAAAAAAAATTTATGTTAAGTATGTTAAACTATATTCAAAGATGCAATTATCAACTAAAAGATTACAGGGCAAGAGAAAGAAAGGTGTCTGATACACACATACACATGCATAGACAGAAATATCTCTTGTAGTTTTGTTTCTACCCTTTCTCTCCCCCCCTCCGCTCCATTAGCCTCCCAAGTCAATTCAAGAGCTGCTCAAAGTAAAATGAACAGAGGCTCCAGTGTGAAACGGTTGTTACCAAATGAAGGCATAGAGATGGTCTAGCATTCTTGAACAATTTTTGAAAAATTAACAGACTGACTTTTGCCATTACTGGAAATGAAACAGACACAGATTAAGGAAAAAGATGCATGCCCTAAAAGTAACTGAGGTTATACCTCTACAATGTCACACCTTTCCAAATTATGACTTGGAGTAAATAACATAACATAGTGTAACAGTGAAAGAAGGAGAGACGTACTCTTATTAATCTTATTTACAAAATCTGACACTACATCACAGAACATGGTCCTTTTGTTTTTTCATGCAGGAAAAGCTATCAATATTTTACTTTTCTTCACAGGCAGAAATATTTATCTTATGTTCCTATTTCTCATACAGGAATATTGAAATAGGTAGGCATGATCAGTCATTCATTATCTTACACAGTCTTATCAGAATTCAATCAACCTTCCAGGAACTGCAAAATCTAGATAGGTATAAACTCCCTTTCAGTTCTTCAACTTCTTTCATCTCACTTTTGTTTCTTTTGTGCGATTCATGTAGTTTTTAAAATAGCAATTTATCACAGGCAATACTGAAGTAGGTGGAGGGAAATAAGTGCAGGAAAAAACAGGATCTGAGAAGACTTTCCCTTGAGGTATATCACCTGACCTTAGAAATTAAGCAGTCAACTTTACAAGTTATTCTCTACTTCCCAAATCTACCATTTGAATTTCTCATGTGAAACACTTTGTTTTATCTGCCTCAATCTTACAAAACTTCAGCAAGACCAAAATGATATGGGACATAACAGGCAAACAGGTCTTTTGGTTGTACTGATCACAAATGAATGGATCTTTCCCAAAGACTGGAGAACTTCCATAGCTTTAATCATTGCTCAGTAAAACATCCTCAGTTAAAACAGTACCTGCTGAAACTGCTTCCTTCTGATAAGCAGCAATATCATTGACTAATGAGTATCCCCCCATTTTTTTGCACTTTTAACATCAACAGCTCTAGAAAACATGGATGATTCAAATCCAGCATTTACAAAAGACTAGCTTGCCCAACACAATTTATCTTATGGCATGGGAAAGGTTTGGGAGGAAGGGTAGAAGTGATGTACACAATGCCACATGACTGAGATTCTTCTGAAACAAGTGAGCAAAATAAAATTAGTTGAGAAAATGGCCAACCTTCAATGGTCACTTCCACTTCAGGATCCTCACTTGTTTCAGAAGTGGCATGCTGAGAAGAATCTGAAAAAAGCAGAACAAAAAACCAAGTCTGAACGGTGCAGACACACTGTAAGACTGATTTTACTCAACAGTGGCGAGTCAACAAGTATCTGGTATACTATGAATAAAACAGACCCACAACATATAAGCCAAAATATTTATTCACAAGCTTTAAGACCTATGAGATGATGATAGAAAAATGTGGATGTCTAAGTACTAAGATTATCTAAATAGCCTTTTTCTAGATTCACTTGAATTTTTGTTGTCAAACATTTTCAAAATGATTGAACGTAGGAAATTCACAAGTTCTCTCTCACACAAGACAATTACAATGATGCAAACAAATGATAATGATTATAGTAATATTTCTAAAAATGTACATTAAAGGTTAGAACTGTAAGTGTGAATAACAGTTTCTCCGGTTCAAGTGTATTCTACAACTGTCCGCACCTACTGAGTGGTACACCTTCTTTCCACATTAAAGTCATCAATTATCAGCAGCAAGATTTTATATAATGGAAGTACAGTAAGATATAGATATGGCATACTGTCAACATAAGACATCATTCTGAAAATACACTATTCTTATTTTCTTTCCTATTCCCAATGCCAAAGTCAGAAAACATCAAATCCCAACAAACAGCTCTTTCAAACAGTCAAAAGATTCTGAAAAGGGAGTTATGACTCCAGGATAGTGAACTCCACTACTTCCATCACTAAATTGCTTTGCTTCCTGTCAGCCCCTCAAGGCAGACCAGGTCAAGAAACAAGGCTGTATCAATAAGTTATAACTCTAGCATTTCTTGTGGTGTTTTGTTTCCTGGCTTGGTCTACTTCAAAGGGCTGATGTTTCCAAACAACTGGCTCTATCTATGCACTGGACCATTTGCTCAACTGTTCTATTTCCACCATTGCAATCATTATATAACATGTTAAGGAGTCCATCTTCATTAGGAAATATCCGGTAAATATGAAAAAGAGTTAGGAAATAAAAGCTGTTCCCCTAATCAAGCAGAAGTCAAGTACTAAATGACTTTACCAATATCTTCGGGCAGGTCTGAAGATTTATAATTCCCATCATTTTTAGCCATTTATTTTAAAGTATTTGAAATGAAAGAAAATTTGATTCAAAAGAGTGTTTAATTAACCTCACTGTTGACAGAAATGAAAAGTATCAAAATTGTAGTGCAAAACTGCACTTTAGGAACAGCTTACGTATAGTTTGCCAGTGTTATTCTCTGAAGGGGATTTCTAACAATGTAACTAAATACACTATCTTCAGGGTCAGTCAGAAACATGCACAAATAAAACAGTAACAATTGAGCTAATGAAAATCTGGAAGAGCAGGTATAGTCTGGTAAATTCCAGGCATGTAATAGGGCACTGAAAATGAGTTTTGAATTAGATAACTCACTCAGATCATCAACCTAATATAAATAGCTAGCATAGGCCCATGTGAGCAGGGAGACTTGTTAGTAAAGAGCTCATGGAATTCTCAAGGTCATATTAGAGGATGACTTTTTTCATTGTCCTATCAAATCAAAATTTACTAAACAGTTATATATACGTAATGTTCTGGTAAATCACTTGTTTCAAAGGGCATCACGTAACAGCTTATATATATGGATGGTTCATAGTAGTTCACAGAAGGATTTGCATTCAGCTTTCCATCCCAGTTTAGGAATTGCTGAACCTTACTTAATCACTCTTTTAATTTTGTACTTTCCTTGTCACATGTCTCCTTCAGAAGTTAAGGCTTCCCATTCTGCCTATCAGCAAGGTACACTGAGAAACATGTTGTGCAGGATTTCCACACTGGGAATAACATGTTGCCATGTCAGACAATATATATATTTGGACATAACAGTGAACTACAATTTAGACTTATAGGGATGCCTCTGTTCATTCTCCTCTATGTAGCCACACAATCTAGAACAAATTTTCCAATTTTAAATTCAACTTTGGCATGTTGAAATAAGCCAACATTATAGGACAAAGGTTGAAATTCATTGTTTTCAAATAAACCATAGTAAAGATTAATCAGTTTGAACAACAGGGCCATCTCTGTTAATGAAGAACAAAAACTTATGAATTCCTCTTTAATCTGAATCAGAGGAAGAACGGAGAGCAAGTGATTCATTTTTTAAATGGTGAAGTATGCTCCAAACAGGTTCAAAACTCCATACTGACAGGGAAGTGATCTACACAGCACAACAAAAGGTTGCCAACAAAGTAAGACATAGAAGAGATTCTATGTCCAAACAGTAATATACAATTTTACATTGTACAGAATAGAGGCTCCTTTAACAGCCTAAGGCTTTCTAAAAAGTTTCTACTAAGCTACTTCAACTACTAATTTAAGTCTACTATTTTAATACAAATGTTGATTATGTTAGCCTTTTACACCTGTTGAGTTTTCCTCTGCAGATTCTAATCAAGCAAAAAATTCAGTTTTTCAGATTCTCAACACCAAAATAGTGCTTTTTAAAATATGCAACACAATACAATCATGAAACTAACAGGGAAGGATCCTTCAACATTTAAAATAAATAGATTAATAGATATAAATACCAGTTTTCTTAAAAAATTGAATAAGGCAGAAGCAGTACAAAGAATATTTTTCTTATTCTGTAACATTACTTTGGGTCAGTCCAAAACATCATTACTTTCAGATTCCATTTCACAATGCACAAAGAAAGCTTAGGAAGCAGAGTGATCTGACAACTGATATGATCCTGAAATTTGAACAGGGAGCTAAATCTAACAGTAACTTCATGCTGTTGCTAAATTAATGCTTCATATAACTGTTCACCTATATGTTGATGCAAAAAATATTTCCATAATAGGAACGTTCCTATGAGCCACAATTTGTAGCCCACCAATTCAGTCCTGTTACAGCCAGCTTTTATTAAACAAGTTAAGAATCCTTAATATTATGATGCTGAAATCAACACCTGAAGAGTTAATATATGCTTTGGCAAGCACAAGTCACATTCTCAGCAGCAACAGCAGCAGCGGTCCCTTTTCAGAAGCTAGGTCTTTAGATTTGAGGGAGAGAACTTGTTCAATAAAATTCCTATTAGCAAGCAACATAAACTAAATAATTTTTCACATTGTTTTTCTCCACATCCCATTGCACCACACCTTGCACTGCTAGTTCCAGATACTGAAATAATTTAATAGAAACAAGTAAAATAGGCCTAATAATCATAAAATTTAATTAAAAGTACATGATTATCTAATTTTTCATCACCACCTTTTAAAAAAATATATACATATGCTGCCTTCATACTTTCAAGCTCTTGTGTTATGCAGCAGTACTACTGTCTACTCAAGTAGGAAAAAGATAAAGAAAATCCACCCAAGATGATAGAGAAGACAGATTGGATGGAGGAGACCAACTATCACCTCTTTCCAAACAGCTCACATAGCTTACTGGAAGGTGCAAGAGGGGAGAAAGGGAAAGGGGATTATCTTGCAAATATTTCTCAATATGTTTTCCACAATAAACATGCAGGACCACAATTCAAGGGGAGAAAAATAAATACACAACCATGTGGAATGTGAAAAAAGAATGCAAGACACAGACACAATGGATATGTTTGCACTGTGCTTTTTCAATTTTTTAAATACCTTACCAGAGTTTATTTTTTAAAATTTACATATTTCTAACCTTCTACTGGCAATTCCACATCTGTTCCTTCACTGCAATCGGAACCCTGGTTGCTCCCTTTAGACAAATATAAACATACCATCATAAAAAAGTGGAGGATGCTAGTAATACTTGAAATTTCATAATTAGTATCTTGAATAATAGGTTAAGTAGAAGTGTTATGGCACACTGGCACCTAGTCTCCAGCAGGTTCACTGCAAACAGAAATCTATGGGAAGAGTCAATCCAAAAAGTAAATCCGAAAGTACAGCATTTGGGTCATCTGTAATTTGGAAGAGTTTTCTTCAAGAAATACACACAATCCAGATGGTGTAGATTTTTAAAAGAATTAGGGGAAGGACGAAAGCGTGTAGCTGGGAAAATATACACATTCTTTCCAAGTTCTATTCAATTCATTTCCTTTGTAATATTGAATTGTTAACCCTCCTAATTTGCCAATATGAAGGGTTAGAAAATAGGGAAACAGAAATGTGTTCAAAAAGTCATTTAAAAATGCCTCTTGATGGGAAGATAGTATATGTCTTTGTTCCCCACAGATGAAAAAACAGGGAATACAGCAACTCTAGGCAGAAACAAAGTTTCTGAATGAAACCAAACTAGAGAAAGTAATGGGGGGGGGGGGAGGAAATCACTGCTCTACAAAATTCAGGCCATGGATCTGAAACCAAATTTAGAAGAACAGTGCTCCTGGCAAGCAGGACATGAAACTGGGGCATTAATGTTGTGAGAAATAGTACCATGATGATGAACAAGTGAATTGCTATACCTGTATAAGACTTTGCCATGGCGATTTTCTCATCAATCGCCGAAGTTTCTGAAGGACCTGCTTTGTAAATAAAGACAGCCATAAAAAAAATCACTAAGATTTTTCCATTTCCATTATGAGAGCATGCTGGGCTGAATCAAGCAATTATAGAGCAAAGAATTGTTACAATGGGGGAGGAGGGTGTTGAACAATATGTAAACCACAATTAATGGTTAGCATGAATAAGCTCCAGATGCACCTACAGCCTCCTCCCTCTACATGTCATTTGTACAAAACACATACCAGCCCATGTGTGTTTTGTGATGTACTTTCAAGGTGCACTAACTACATATTTTAACATAAGAAGTCATGAGCTTTGTGTAATCCTGAAGGCTACACATTTTCCTTTAAACAATCCATAGACAGATGGGCCACTATTCTATTTGGATTACTGCAACAAAATCGGGCTCCTTGGAAAAGCATATGGCAGCTTCAGCTGGTCCAGAATGCAGGAGTGCATTGAGATTCACTCATGTAACACCACTCCTGAGCGAGCTGCATTGGCTTCCAGTAGGCTTCCAGGTGTAATTCAAGATGCCGGTTATCAACTTTTAAAGTTCTACACGGCACAGGGATAGGTTACTTGTGGAACTGCTTGTCTCCAGTAACTTCTGTCCATCCCACCAGATCTTACAGGGTAGGCATGCTCGGGTCCCCTCAGTGAAACAGTGCTATCTTGTGGGAACCAGGAGATATGCCTTCCCTGTCATGGTGCCCACCCTACAAAACAGCCTTCCTCCTGAGATCCAGATGGCTCTGACTCTGTCAGCCTTCCAGGAGGCTATGAAAACCTGGCTATTCTCTCAGGCATTACAGCCGAGTTGTTAGCAGAACCTGAAATGCATATGTTTGGGACTGTGATTTTTTTGTGAGATAGTTCAGCTCTTGTATCTATTATATTTGCTATTAATTATATTTTTCATTCAGTTTTATATTGGTTTTGTATTGTTAGCCAACCAGAATTATTTGTCTCAGATGGGTGGCCATATAAATTTTCTAAATAAATACTGCTGAGGAGGAGGAGATGGTGGGCACCTATGGGAAGTATTTGTACTGACCATCTTCTACATGGCACAGAAATATAATTACAGAGTTATAACAGTGTGAAGAGTTCCAAGAATCATCTACCACTGTGTCCTAGAATGGCACCAATTCATGTTGCACTTCATACCATATCAGTACCATTAAGACAAGCAATAATTTAAAGCTGCCTACCCACTCAACACATTAATCTTTGTACGTGATTTCTGGAGCGAAGCAACACTCATAATTACAATCTATCAACTGTCATATGGTCAGTACAAGCTGTAGTTTTGCAAATTTACTTTAAATCCATAGCTTCTGATTCAGTTTTGACAAATTGTATAACCCATTGTTTGTCACTTCAGATGACACTCTAAACTGTTAAGCTTTCTCTGTCTGGCATGTTATCTAAATAGAACCACAATGTTTCAAATATATCTTTCTGCCAGTCCTTTAAAAACTTTTCATTTGAAACTGAGGCATAGAAGCACGAATATATTTTGCAAATCTAGCCAATGGATATTTCCATTTTGAATGCCCTATCACTTCTATTTAAATTCCAAATTGCTTCCAAATGCAGCAAGAAATCCAGCTGTTAGCAACTGTCCTCAGCCAGCATCACAATGCAAGGCTAATACAATTATTTTCTGAAAACAATCTTAGGCACAATTATTGTTCATCTCTCTTTTTTCATCTGTATTTAACAATGGACTTTTAACCAACTCTCAGTCTAATGACAAATCCAATCAACAGAGGAAACTAATACTCCGATGAAACATACAGGCAGGAACACTCTCCAGTGTCATCAAGACGGCAATCAAGATGAAGTTCTTCTGGCTATGCTGTTGGGACCATTTATTAGTGATTTGTATGCAGTGGTTGCATATGCTGCCCATTTATCCAAGGTGACCTCTTAATTCCAAATTCAAGGCATTTTAGGAATAGTAATGAATCTTCAGTCAGGTATGCCTTGCTCGCAAAAGGCTTCTTTTTGTCCTTTTTCAAATAAATAGGGAGTTATTATGCTACTATTTTGTAAAAAACTACCATGAAATTTTGGGGATTTAACGTGATGATGTGTTGAAATCTCACGAGATTCACACTATGAGATTTTGCTTAATTTAAGTTTGAGGTTCCATAGATACTGTCTAAGAGCACTTCAGAAGTCCTCAGCTCTGTGGGCACTGCACTGATAACCCTTGAAATAAGGTCAGTTTAAATATTAAGAAGCTGCTTTCAAGTACCTAACTTGCATGTCTTCTTCTATGATCCTGGTGGCTACTTTTTAAAGTCAAAAAAAGTCTATGCAAAGGCATCACGCTCCTGTACATATACCACTTGCCTAGCTAAAACGGTATGGCTGAACTTCACTACTATCTCTACTATAATTGAAGGCTTCAGTGGGCATATTATATAAAAAAAAATTCTGCTGTTCTCTCTAGGTTGGGGAAAGGAGTAAAGTGGTATTACCCTTGGGATATAGCAGGAGAAAGAAGGCATCTGTAAGCAAAGCAGCTTTTTAAATTCAGCTATTTCTTGGCTGCTTAAATGAAGCCAGAGATGGTTCTGTAAAGAGTATCCATGCTTTAACACTTCCATCCTACTACTGCTTCGGCTGTCAATTCACACACACCACTTTCAGCATTCTGGTGCAAACCAACCTTGCTGTGATGTTTTGCAATGCCAGCACTAGGCGACGGGTCACAATTGGACAGTTGTCCAGTTAGTATTCGCCATCCTCAATGTTCATCTCCTGGCAGAGCATCTTGCACAAAATGGGTCATTAAAAAAAAAAAGGCAGCACAGCCAATAAACCTCATATCTGGGTCAGGAGAAGGGAAGAAGGGGAAAGGAGAAATGTCCTGACAAAAGATACTGAATGTCACTAGCTTTTCATTAAAATTGTCTCCTGGAAGATAAATGTAAATTAGGGAAGGAAGAGATGAAACTATATTTTTATCATAATATAAAACCCATTACCTTCCATTATAAAATTTAGTGTGGCATAAACAGGATTCCAAAGTAGTCTTCCACCCAAGTACAGACCAGACTTAGACCTGCTTAGCTTTCCAAAGGTTACTCAACTCTGTGCCTTTACTTTAAACCCTAGCCCCAGGAAATTACATTAGGCTGGGATCATTCAACAATGATGCTGCCCTATGGAATGGTTTTCAGAATAATTTGTATATAGCTACTGCAAAAAAACCATTACGAAGTCACACACTCCATTAGTCCTTAATTGTATGGCAAAATAGACCATTTCAATTAAACCATGCTAATCCCATATATGTACAGCTTGCCATCAGGATGCCACTTCCAAATGGACATTCCAAGGGGCTGTGGAAAGGGGAGAAACAATTTAATTACATTGAAGTTTAATAAATAATTGCTATGGCTGCCGTGTTTATCTTGTATTGCACATCAACCCTATAATTTTTTAAGCAAAGGGTTTAGTGCCTATTCCACCAAGTCAGATAAGGTGGGTGCACTCCAGGTCCCTTTCTTCAAATGTTGCCATCTGGCTGGACCTGGGGAATGCCTTCTTGATAGCAATTCCTACACTTTGAACACCCTGGTAGGCTACTATCCACCTAGCCTTCCAGAAAGCCTTGAAGAGCTGGCTCTTTCCACAAGCACTGGGGTAGAATAAGGCTCAAGCTTGATAAAGTTATTGTTGATATATTGGGGGGGGGTTGTTTTGGGGGGCGCTGGCAGTTTTTATGGTGGTTTTATGGCTTTTGCTGTTTGTAAGCTGCCCAGAGCTATGATGCATAACATGGGTGACCTTGTCTCTTTTAAATCAATGAAGTACACAAACCCACATAATTTCTGGGTGATAAGATATATAAAACAGTCATAGGGAATTATGACATGTAGACTATCTTTCTATTCCTCCCTCCAAAACTACACATTTGTAATACTTGGTATTTGGCAACAATACCAAGTTTGACTATTGACAGAATAGTTATTATACTTATCTTTATGTTACGTAATTTATCTAAACACCTAGAAAACACCTGTCAAGTGTTTAGAAATGGGAGGAGGGAGCCACAGACAATGGTATATAGGGAGCAAATGCAGCACACAAATGAACAGGAACCATGCAGGGGTCCCCTAACCAAAAGCAAGTTCTGCTTCAAATAGTGTAATCTCACACTGGAACCACAGCCCTATGTTCTCTTCCTATCTCCTCCAATTCCCTTCATCTTCATTTGTCTTTCTGGCAGCATAGTTTACCATTCAAGATTTCAGACTGTATAAAAGAAGATTCATATTCACTGTTACCTGGAATATTAAACTGATAATACTCAGGGTCTTCTGATTCTTCTTTAACTGTTACCATCTCGAGTCCTGAAGTAGAAACAATTAATATTCTATTTACATAGATAATTAGGAATCTAAATCAGCACTTACCTTTTGCTGTTTTATATGCATCAAGAAAATCAACACATTCTGAGTTAACTGTAATTAACATGTTGAATCCCAAGTTTAAGCAACAGACACTCTTCAATTTTGACATTATAACAGAACCGATTATGTGGCATGAAGTCAGTGCTGATTTGCAGCAATCACATAGATATTCTCCATGATGATCTGTCCCTAACCTGGTTTTCTAACAGTAATCACCACTGTGACTGCATTCATCCACCTTGCCAGAAAATTGTACTTTTTTATAATTATCAGATCAAGTCCCATCTAACCTAACACTTCATTTCCAATCTCAACCAAAAACAAAGTGTACACATTTATTTCAGTCCAACTAAGAAGCATGGATAGAATCAACTTGTAATATACCCACTTGACATTTGCCTATTTCTCCAGCAAGTGTTGTTGCAGATAACCCATCCTTAGATTTATGTGGTTTAAGACAAATCACTAGTTATGAGTATTAGAAGTTATATAGACCAATTAAAGCTCAATTTTTCCTGAGCTGAAAAACTGAACCATGGCCAGTACTACATTCCTAGCACATAGCAATTGGTAAGAACTGCTAGTCTTTGTGTCAGATATTATTAAATATTTTTGCTCTTCACAAAATTTTCCTATTACTATATGTCTTATGAAT